CACAATTCACGTTGAACGTGCAGGTAGAAGTATATTTCAGACAATTGGTTGTCTTTCCCTTCACATGGACCTTGGGTGCTGCCAGGCTACTCACAGGGGGAATTCTTCTTCATCCTATCAGTCCTTTCAGTCCTGCGTGGGCTGCTCAGACCACCTGGTCTCCCACTGACGTCTTGGTGTCCTTCCGTGTTCTCCACATGAAGAGTTGCCGTTGTTCTCCGGGGAGTGAGCACAGCAGAGTGCCCACCAAGATTGTAAAGCATGTTGACTTCATTCGGAACAGCAAACAGACCCGAGGGAAACGCTCCACTTTGGTGTGAAATATTCTGGGCTTTTCTTTTTCTTTTTTAATCCAAGGACACTTACGTGGACCTGGGCTCTGGCTGGGTGGTTTGGTTTGCAAATCAAGTGTGTGTTCATTGTGCACACGGGGCCTTGACTGTTAATGAAGGACACCTGTACTTCAAAGCAGGGAGCTAATTTGTATAATTTATTCCTGGGCAGTTCTACAGCCAGGATGCATACTTGCCCTTCCTCTAACCTCTTTAGGTTTAATTTGAATAGCAGCTACCCGCGCTGCAGAGTACACACTTTGGGTGCTCACCTTTCCGTTCTCAGGGGGCAAGGGGGAGGGTCTGTATTCCTGCCAGTGGCTGAGAGGCTTGTGAAGGGATGAGGCATTCACACTTTCCGCTCAGTTTATAATCAACAAATTCTTATCCTGAGGACTACACTTGAAGTGCCTATCTCTTGAGTTTCTCTTTCAAGGACTTGACTGTAAAAGCGACTCTTCAAAGCCCTTATCATTTCCAACTGCCTCTGCGGCTGCTCCACAGCCTGTGTTTAGCGCAGCCTGTGCCGTGGCCCTGGCTGGTGTCTGCCTCTGATCTGGCTGAGGTGTCACCTGGCAATCTGGTTTATTTGTCGCCTGTTTATTTCCTTCCTCAGCTTGCTCGGAGTCACGCCGATTTGGGTTAATCAATGATCTGACAGATTGCGCTCGCTGTTTTTTTTTCTTTTCAATTGTACCTGCATTTATCTCTGTGTCACAGATCAACCTAAGAACTCAGAGCTCCAGGTCTGTGTTTCTCTTGACTGAGATCAGCTTTTCTTTGACAAGTCCCCAAGTCCAGATAAGAGTTCCATTTCAAAGCGGCTCTGTCACTAGCAGAGGGAGCATGGGTGGGATGGCTTAAAACCTGGGCCCCCAGCCCCCTAGTCACCTCATCCCGTTACCTCGTTCCTAGGCCAGCTTAAGCCTCAAGGGTCCCTGAGAAGTTAAGCATGCCTCCTCTGGACTCTGATAACTCCATGACCTCTTAAGGAGTGTGCCAAGTTTAGGAACTTGAAAGGCAAACAAAGGAAACATGCAGGCTTAAATTAATACTTGACAGGAAAAATGTCATTTTCCTGTGATGAGGCTATTGCTAGTCAAAGTAGATTATATTCTTGATTCTATCTCTTAGTCAATGCAAGTGTTTTCTTATGTTGTTACTTATTGCCACCATCCTGTTCTTGGGAACATTTTTATTAAAATGCATTCCAGTTTATCTTGAACTAAAAAAAAATGGTTTCATGATACACATGATACAGTCTATTTCATACTGATGCTGGAGAAATTGCTTCACCATGGACACTGTGTATATTGAGATCATTTATGCAGCCATAAGTGTAGCCTTGTCTTTGGTCTGCTCCTGATGCGGCAGAGAGTTAACACAGCAAGCCAGGGAGCACTCTGCTCAGAAATGCTGGCTTATGAGGGTGGCTCTATGCTGGGAACATGGCTGTAAATCACTGCTATGCTAAGATGAGCCTTGTGCTGAACGCTGAGCATGGCTCACTTTCCTTAAACGGCTGATACAAATGACGCGATTGTATTCAACATCTGCTTTCCTTCCAGGAGTCGAGAATTTTGGGATGTGCTAGGCAAGGGGGGTGCCTGCATGACCAGCCCCGGTGAAAATCATGTGCGCTGAGCTGCTAATTGATTCCCTGGTCCACTGCTATATTTTTGTTGCTTGGGGTAAGATGCAATCTGGGTGACATCGTAGGAGAGCAAGTGTGAGCATAAGAGGAAGTCTGTACAGCTGACCTGAGCTCATGGGAGCTCACTGACTCTAGACCAACAGCTAGGGAGCCTGCCTGGGACCCACCTAGGCACTCTGCATGTGAGTGACAGTTGTGTAGCTTAGTCTGTTTGTAAGGCTCCTAGCAGTGGGATCAGGACCTGTCCCAGCGCTCTGCTGGCTTTGGGAACCTGTTCTCCATGCTGCATCACCTCATCCAGTCTTGATACAGGGGGAGGAGCTCAGGCCTGCCTCAACTTGATGTGCCATGCTTTGTTCAAACCCATGAAGGCCTGCCCCTGTCTGAATAGAGACAGAGGAGGAATGGATGGGGGGGGGGTAGAGAGGAGGGAAGGGAGGGAACAGGAGGAGAGGAGGGAGGGGAAACTGTGGTTGGTATGTAAAATAAATGAAAAAAAGTTAATTAAATAAAAGAAAAAGAAACAGAGGAAGTCTGTATGTTGATGCCTCCAGAAACTGCCTGAATTTTCTTTCTGTTCCATAGGAGTCTGCTATGAGTCTGTATAGCTGTAGTCTATGTCCCAGAAGTCACCCAGGGAACCTTTGAGCCCTGCCATTAGTTGTTAGGAAAACCATTTGATGGCATTATCATCCAAGGTGTAGACTCGATCCTCAGTCTCCTCACTCCTCACGCATCATTGCTCACAGTTCGGCTTAAATGTTCCTGAAGAGCTATGGTCTGCTTAGTTTATATTTGTTTGTTCTTCTACTTCCCTGATGGGCATCACTTCGCTCTGACTTTTTCCTTTCATTTCATCACATCTAAACTAATTTTGCAAATTCTACATCTTAGAGGAGTGGCTAGTAAGTGCCGAGATCATCAGCAAATGTAACTGGATGTTTTAGAAAAATAGACATACAAAGCGAGATCTATAATATCACAATTGCTAATAATATTGATATAGAGTCCCCTGAAAGTGTGCCCATATATTTGAAAGATTCTCTGTATTGGTTATTTTAAGAATTTAACTGAACCAGCTATTTTGTTCAAGCCCATGAAGGCCAACCAGCTCCTATGATGTTAAGAATGAAATAATGTTGACAGGGTCTTGGGTTTTTGTCTTGTTCCAAAGCTATGTGTTCATGTTCTCCTCAAGTAGATAGGGAATAATGCATCAGTATGATTCAGGGTTGTTTTACCTTCTCATTGTAGATAAGCAGCTGGTGTGGTGGATGTTGAAAGCATGGACCAGTGATTCGAAAAGGAACAAGAAGCTGAGGGCAGTGAATCTGGACACAGCAATTTTGTAAAGATTCACTTGTTAGGGTAACTTCGAAATTTTCCTCACTAGGTAATAGTTAAGTCTTGGCATGCAGTGAAACACACCTTTAAGATGAGGCATATTTTCAGAAGTGATAGGATTTCACAGGTCACTTTGGTATTGTTGAATCAGCTGATGCTTTAGGACACACAAAGTCACTCTATTCTAGGAGTTCAAATTCCTTACCGAGCCTATGCTCTTGCTGCTATCAATATTTAAAAATAGTTTATTAGATCTAAGCATTGTGGGTGGGAACATGGAATAAAGTGTTTCCTTGGGCACAAAAAAGCTGGCCCTGCAGAAGCTTCGGGGTTCTTTCCACTCTCCATGAGAGTCTGCTAGCTTCTTATGCAGGGACCTTCAACGACACAGGGGTATCTGTGAGGGCCTTTGAATGTCGAGATTTTAGCTGAGTTCTTCAGGGCACCGATCTGCCCTACCAACAAGGAAGTGTTAGTAGCTGTTTATATAGCATATACAAAAAGCATCATGTGAAAGGGAAAGATACTCTTTAGAAAGTCTTCTGGGTAGGAATGGGGTGGTGCCAAAAGTGAACCACTTCTTACATATGGTGGATGTGAAGGGATCACTGAGGCCTGTGGCCAGCCCCTGCTGGTACCCTGATAGTCTGTGTGGCTTGTCACTGCTGTCTGTCTGTCTCTGATGCTCCCTGGAAAATGTTTCTATTTTGTTTCTTGAGGTGCTAGAGGTAGAGCCCAGGGCCCGTGTGTGCTCCACTGAGCCGTGTCCTTAGGCTCTGAAAAAACTTTTAAAGACGGCTTGGGTTGTGAAGCTTTTCATGTAAGGGCCACTCAGCTGGGTCAGCTACACTGTCTACACTGTCAGTGATGCCTCCAACAGGCTGCTGGAAAATGACACCTTTAAAGACTCTTGAAAGCAAACTACGATTAAATTGTACTTTAAAGCCTCGCTCCACCCAGGCACGTCTCTCTGTTTGCAGATCAGGATGTAGCTCTCAGCTACTGCTCCAGTGCCATGCGTGGTCCCAGGGCTGCTGTGCCCCTCCCACCTGCCATCATGATAATGGACCCTCTGAAATTGTAAGCAAGCTCCCAATTAAATGCTTCATTTAATAAAAAAAAAAAATGAAAAAACTTACTCAAAAGAATATAAAAACAGCATAGGAATGAATTTTTTGAACAATCTCTAAATGTCAGAGAAAAGCAGCCACCGAACGAGCTGAAGTTAGCATTTTAAATTTTACACCCTAAAGATTGGCTCTGACTCATCCCCTGGCCCAATTTAGTAATCCTATAGCATTGTCTAAAGCATGTGTGATTTTATAGAAAAACTGGTGAATTACTGCAGTCTCAAATGAACAGAGCACTATCAGTCTAATTATAAAGGGTCCCACATACAAGTGGTGCTGGCTCTCCCTGCACACTCAGAGATGCCCTGTAAGCTCACACATTCGATACTTCAAACATTTCCTAATTTCGCAAGCTAAAGAAAGGGTTCACACACATATCTGGGGCTTAAGTCGACATGTGTGCTTATCCGTCTCCCGATAGTAAATACCTATTCTGGTAGCAATAGAGGACAGATGCATTTTTATATACAAAAAAGAAAGCCTGCACATTTGTAACACTCAGAAAAGCAGAACACAGCTGGATGGAAACATGAAACGCACCATACTCTGGGACTTGTCCCGTGCCTCGCTTCAGCAGCAGCCTCACTCTTCTTCCTCCGGATTTGATGAGTTCTATTGCTCTGGCGTGTGTCATGTCCCTGGTGCTTTCCCCATTGATTTCAATGATTTGATCTCCTACCTGTCAATTAAAGAAAAGTGAAGTCAGGCAAAGGTGGTGTGCAGTCCCAACTGTTCAAGTATCACCCCATTTCTAAAGAGCACCGAGCTGCTTGACTGCCCCCCAGAAAAGGCTCGTCCATAGCTGCACCCTTCATAACTTCATCAGAGGCCACACCACTCATCATTAGCGAGGATGGTAGTGGCCTCAGTTAAAAAACTGGGCATTAAAAAAAATTGGAAAATAGGTCTGATATTACAATTCAAAATATTCTGGCAGCTTTGTTTGAATGGAGAAGCACATATTCTAAGGCTTTTTCATGGAACACATCATCAGGCTTTGGCTTTGTGCAGTATCTGTTTAGCACATTGTTGGAAGGAATGATTAGTTTTTGGGCTTCTCTGAGAATATTTGCTCTGCATCATTTAAATTTCTCTGGGTGCTACTGCAGTACCGCCTTCACAGTAAACATCAGTTAGCTGATGTTCCAGTTCGATGATGAGTGCTCTGTCACTGTCCCTTGAATTACAAATGAGACCCTCTAGTCTCTGCACATGACTAATGCTCTTGTGAAATCTTTGCCATGCTCACACCTGGTTGCCAGAAGCTGTTTGGTGAAGCATCATTTCCTCTGGATTTGTCAAAAACGCCTGTGCTCCATAAGCAATTCCCATTTAGCTTTTGTGAATAGATGTTAGGATACAAAGTTTCAACTACAAACATATCATGTAACTCCCAGAGGATCATTATTGTCATGGGCCTTTGAATTAAAATGTATTGAATTTCAGGGCAAATTACTTAAGATAAATTAGTCAGGGAAAACACAATGAGTTATTTTGCAAAAATTTATTGTAGATGGTTTCTTAAACAAAGATGATCTCATCTTAATTGATATCTATAAAGCATAGAGAGCCAAGAGCTACAGTCTAGTGGATTGTACAGAGGAACAGGTAGTTGCTATCACCACGGCAACAGGGCATTGCAGTAAGAACCCCAACACACTTAACAGAAAGTGGCATCTTCGTCTAAAGAGGATTCATCCAGAGGCCCATACCCTTTCCAATATAATGACCATAAAGATTTCCCTTCATGTGCTTGGTGGCCTCTAGAGGCATGGGTTTGGGGCAGTGGAAGAGGATGGTATAATTTCTGTGGCATCCATATTACACAGGATAACTCAGAAGACAGGACTAAAGGTTACTGTCACTGTGAGGGCTAGTGTATGTCAACTTGACACAAGCTAGCATCATCTGAAAGGAGGGAACCTCAATTGAGAAAAAGCTTCCACAAGATCCTGTTGCAGGGTATTTTCTTCATTAGTGATTGATGGGGAGGGTAAAGCCCATTGTGGGTGGGGCCATCCCTGGGCTGGTGGTGCTGGGTTCTATAAGAAAGCAGACTGAGCAATCCCTGAGGAGCAAGCCAGTCATCAGTACCCCTCCATGGTCTCTACATCAGCTCCTGCCTCCAGGTTCCTGCCCTGTTTGAGTTCCTGTCCTCATTTCCTTTGATGATGAATTATGATATGGAAGCATAACTCAAATAAACCCTTCCTTCCTCAAGTTGCTTTAGTCATGGTGTTTCATCACAGCAGTAGTCACCCTGACTAAACATTCTCTCTTCATGTTTCCTTAACTGTCACTTTTCCTATGAAGGAAGAGCTATGTCCTGGAGTCAAGTGGCTTGGGAGGGGCTATGCATCTAAATTACCAGTGAAAATGGGAACATTTAGAAGAACTCATGGATCTTTACCCACACTACAGGCACAGTATTAAATTGTGGGACACTAAGGGCTAAGTCACACAGAGAAAGTCTCCTTCTCTTTCTTCTGCATGCCTCAACTCATGTCCACCTGGTTCCTGGACACCTTCTCCTGGACAGCCAGCAGATATCTCAGCAGTGGATGAGCCCCCCAACTTTCCCCAAAGCAGATTCTCTCCTGGTGTCTAGCCTTTAGGGATTGGGATTCCCCTGTCCTTAGGCAGGAGGGAAAATTATGGGGACAGAGGAAGAAAAAAGACCCTGGAGTCTGGCAGAAGCCTTTTGCCAGCTGGAAAGTAAGAATTCTAATATAATCAAATTTTACTTAAGGCCTCTCTTTCCTCCTAGCTGTAAACCTATGCTTTTCTGGGAATCTCTCCTGGAGTCCCAGTTACAGCCAAACATACATCCGAATGCCCTGTGCAATCCTAGTGGCTCCTGGCTTTACCTTATCAGATTATAATCCCATCTAATGCACATCTGGAGCTGCCCTATAATCTCGCTTGCCAAAAGAGAAAAGAAGAAAGGATATTTCTTGGAAGCCCTCCCCCCCTTTTTTTTTGAGATGTAATTTGAGAGCCACCAAAATGTAATACACCAACTGCGAAGACATGTAACTGAGACTCTCCCTTGGGAACACTATGCCCACACTTCAGTATGTTTGAATTTTTCTTTGAGTGTCTCCCTCTTAATCCCCTTGCTTAAAAATCTATGCCAAAAATGCCTTTTAATAAATGGCTGCTCTTCTCTAGAAGCTTGTACCCATACTCTCAGGTGTGCGTCATGCTTCCCCTGAGTACCTGTCTATTTTTAAAACCCCCAACTCTGTTTCATAATTGCTCATTCTGAAATTCTTTTCTGAAGCCAAGAATCCTGGGTTGGCTTGAGTCAAGATCCTTACAGGGTTGAGGGGAACCATAGGCTGCTGGGAGGGGGCGGTAGTGTGAAGCTATGTTCCCGGTTTTGCCACCACTTATAGGTACCACATTCATGAAGCCAGAAGTGTGGGGTCATGCAGCACTCCTTAAAAGTTATGATTATTTTATTTTGTATGTAGTTATGTATGTATGTATGTATGTATGTATGTATGTATGTATGTATGTGGCATGTGTATGTGGTATCTGTGGAAGCCAGAAGAGAGCATTGGATCCCCTGGAGCTGGAGGTACAGGTGTTTGTGAGTGCCTGGCGTGGGTTCTGGGTACTGAAGTATGGCCCTCTGCAAGAGCAGTAAGTGCTCTTAAGTGCTGAACCAGCTCTCCAGCTCTCGGACTCCTTTTAAAACTGCAGCTTCTCTGCACCTGTTCCGACTCTCTTATGCATTCCATTGTGTACCAACTCAGTGCTGGGCTGTACCTGGGTCAGTACAACGTTCTCCAGTCACTTGCTGTCCCAGTTCTCATCACGGTCACTCTTCCCCGCGGGAGGAATGCTGTACTGACTGAGGCATCCAGATTCTCTCCACCTCTTTCTCACAGGCCTGCACCTTCCAAGCCCAGCCTAAGTGCTGTCTTCTGGGGTGGGTATCTTCCTCAGACATGTCAACCTTCTCAAACAAAAGTTTCCAGTCTGTTCATCAGTTACACCTCTCCCTCTGTTTGTAACTATATTCCCTCCAAGACTCTGAGTGTCTTCACTCAGTAAACAGTTTTTAATGAACACTTATTATGTGCCAGAGAGTCCATGGTGACATGGAGACAAATGTTACAGTTTCTATTTGCAATACGTTCTTGTCTGGTTGAAGAAGAAAGTGTGTAAAAATGACAATAAATTTTCACTGTATCTGGCTATGGCACTTGCATCCATAAAGTACTAAGGGAGCAGAGGGAGGGACATTGAGCCCAGAATGGTGTGTAGAGGCTGTCAGGACTGCTTGGTGGTGGCAAGATGTCAGCTGAGTTGTGAAGTGTCAAGAGAAGCTGCCCAGACAAAAGCAGAACCACACATTGTAGACAGAGAGAGCATCATATGCAAGACCCCAATACTGGAGAACGTTCTGTTTCTCAGGAATGTTTGAAGTTTGGTGGACCACTCAGGAATGTGGGGTTTGTTATAAGGCACCAGCTGGGCACTGAGCACGTAAAACAGGGATTAAATTGATGGAAGCCAGCTGGTAAGTGATGCTTCCCTGAGTGGAGTGGAAACATGGGAGGCTGAGCAGAGGGCTGTCACACGATCCACCAAGTGAGCAAGACATGCCCTTGCCTCCTTCCTTCAGGTCAGGAGGCCTTGGAGACCTCTCCAGGGAAGGCTCGGTTGGCTCTGTGGGCTTTCCTTAGAAAGGCACGACTCATTTCATCCTCCTCTTTTCTTTTCCTTCTGCACTTTTCTTTTGGATACTGTCAGAACTCTACACTCGGAGCTTTCTCGCTTTTTCCCTGAAGCTTCCTTCTCCACCTGTAGCAGACCTCTATGCCAGTTCATGCTTTTATTTCCCTCCTCCAGGCAGTGTGAGACCCACACCTCACCCACCCCAGAGTTCCCTTTAAACTCTAATGACTCGTCCTCGGGCTTTGCTTGAGTCCATTCTTTTATTCTCTTGCATTTGAGTTTGTTCTTAAATTCTCTCATTAATGAGCCTAAGGCCTAAAGGAGGATCACCAGTTTCTCCAGTGTCATGTGATAGCTTTGCTGGGACTCCCTAAGAATTCTGGGAACACTTCTTTCCTCTTTTTAATTGTTTGCTTCTTTAATTGCTTGCACCCTGAGATGGCACCAGCATGAGGAGGTCTTGGGGACAGAGATGCTGGGCTAAGGAGGGAGGGAACTGGAGCCCTTGAACTAGGTAACTGGAATGCGGCACAATCTGTGCTTGTGAACGGAGTGTTTCTAGTGCCTCATTTGAGGACAGACCCTCAGATCAAACCCTAGACAAGAGTCTGGGAATACACTAACATATTACTAAATTTAGAAAAAAATTCCTTAGGGGTGGAAGTGTTTAGGTAAGAGAATGGAATCAAGTCTGTTCATAGTTATACTGAGTGTTCTGGATACCAGCTGATTTGGAGCTAGGTCAACAGTAAGAAACAGTCCAGCCTCAGCATGGAGATTCCCGCCTTTCCCTGTGCCAGTATGTATGACAGAGAGGCAGAATTTCCATTGTCATTCCAATTCAGGGTTATGTGTAATTTTAACCGGAACTCTTTAAATAAACGTGGGATGTGACTTCTTTCCTTTTCATCCTCTGTATAGAAAGATGGACTTGTTGGCGGGAGAAGGTTTCTTATTACTTTCTGATCTTATCCAACTTCACTTCAACTT